TTTATTTGGCATGAGCTGACAGAAAAAGTTGCAATCAGCCAATTATCTAGATGTATTCTGATGATGTTGAGTTTTCCCCGAAGTGACTGGATATTACTCACACTCTCTTTGAGTAGTCATGTCAGTGGAGGGTTGTTGGTAAAATGACAGATACTAAGAAGATAACTAATGGACATTGACTGTGATTCTTAAATTTGCGTTGAGTGATGATCAGCTGATCAGCTTCTATTCCTGCAGAAGGTTATGGGATCCTGTTCAACATGGATGCACCTCAGCGTATTCATCTCTTTATCCTGCAGGTCAGGAGCCCGTTTCATGTTTTCTGCCTAATCTTTCTGTGCTCAGGGTGGGAGACGATCTCGGCTGTGAGCCCCCTCAACAGGGGTAACACCGCTGGATGAGGGTGCGGCTGAGAGATGAGACATGTCCATCCCCAGCTGGTAGGATTTTCCTGGATGGCACCGTATTTTAGAGGTGATGCTCAAACCCCTCCCCCCCAACCCATCTGGCCCAAGCCTGTCACCGGCAATACATCACGTTCATGAAATGGCAGCAGCCCAATGCTATCTGTCATCAGCAATCTGCATCTGCTCAGGGACCAAACGGAAATGAGGAAGAGGGATAAAGACAGAGGAAGATAGAGAGAGACTTTGTGTCCCCCGAGCAGGTGCCATGTTTGTGTTTGTGTGTGTGTAAATGTGAATGCGTGTGTGTGTGTGTGTGTGTGTGTGTGTGTGTGTGTGTGTATTTGCTCATTCCCTCCTTTTAGCACAGTGTGACCAGATATCGATTTATTTTTTTGAGAGGAGAAAATAGCCACAGCAGGCCACCTTATCTTTCATCTCTACTGGACCAAATAGGTGAGGATATTTCATCGGTTCTGTTAGAACAAAGTTCCAATGCATCTTATCTGTCAGCGAGAAGAGTACTCGCTGTCCCTTGCCTTGGCACTCGGGGCAGCTGGTATTGATATCTGTTTCAGCTTCACAACCTGAAATGTAACCCAAACGATACACTATACACACGGTCGGGAAAATGTGCTGGAAACACCTGAAGAACAGCAGCTGCATAAGGGACACATTCAGTAGGACTGAGAAAAATTGCTTCACTATCCGAAACTTTATGATCCCCTGTGCCGACAGCAGTTTATAATCTTGTAAATATAATCTGGTTAGAAATAAATAAGTTGTTGAGTCATGATTTTTGCCCTGTAAATACCAGAATCGATTATGGGTAATATTGTCTTGGTTGGTATAAAAAACATATATTTTTTCAAGTGTAGTTTTTGTAGTAGCCCAAAATAATAATTTTTAATAAGAACTTTTTTGTTCTTTTGTCTTTTTTGTTCTTTTGTCTTCAGGATTCTGCCCTCCAAAATGATCCCGTGGTTTTGGAGATTACACAGTTTATCTTTTTGTCTTTAACACATCAGACCATTATTGTTCAAATATCACCGTGTCTATTTTGATATAGAATCATAAGGAAGCGTAATGCTTTCACTTGAGCAATAAAATGTTTGCTCTGTTTTCTGAATTAACGAGATTATTATCTCGGTATTTCTGAGAAAAAGTTTCCATGAAAAGGAAATCTGCTCTGTTCTTCAGAATTAATGAGAGATCGATTTCTTAGACGCAAACATGTCCCACCTGTTTATTCCAGCACTGAGAAAGCTGTGAAGAATGACGGGACTGCAACTGAGCCGCAGCGTAGCCAGCCTGAATACCTTTCAGATGCCACATCTTTTGTCTGTGAAGCGTGCCATATCGGTTCAACTGACGCTGGAGAGAAAAACTTTCCTCAGAATTACTCAGATAATTAACTCAGAAAAACAGGGCAAATATCTAGTTTCACAAGTGAATGCATTATGCTTCTGTAGAACCACACTTTGCATACATACACTGTTGATGGGATTTCCATTATCATGAATACAATTTTGTTAAGTTGTAATAAAATCTGTCTCTGACATAATAACTGGAACATACTGTATGAACGTTTTATATGCTTTTGTGGTCTGGAAGTGTTTTAATTTGGCAAAAATGTTGGCACCTGACATAAAGCAAAGTTGTATTCCTGCCAACACTTTCTGTGGGTTACTTGGGTTTCTGCTTGATTGCAAACTCTTTGGAGGTAAAATGTCCCTCTAAGATAAGTGTATGGTGTTTGACCAGGATAGAGCTGAAACGCACTGTTATGGTCAAATGAGGAGGGTAGACAATGCTAAATGCACACACAAATATATTGCACAAAAACGTAAGGAGCCTTCCATCAAATACAGCTGTCCAGAAAGTATAGGAGTGAAGGTTGGCTGAAGATTCAAGAAGCAGCCTTGTGACCAAAAGATTGCAAATTGGAATCCTTAATCCCCTGTTGCTCCACTGGAGCTGCTCAGCGGCGGCATGAAAACACGGTGGTTAATGCTCCTGGGTCCTTCCCAGCTTCCATACTTGACTCTATAGTTTACTGCCTGTAGTTGTTGCTGTGACTAAGATGTGATAATAATAATCATCAACAACAACAACAATTTCAGGCAACTCTAAACATCCACTTGGTTTGCAGGCAAAAAAAATACACACAGTACTTTGAGTGACTTTTAATCAGATGAATTATTCACTGCTTTGCACCATCTTAGTTTAAGTAAGCAAAGATATTGTGGTAATTTGTCAAATTGGATTGATGAGGGTCACAATGTCATATCAGTTATAAATCAATCTGAACTTATTCCTGTTATTTGACTTCTTAGGTTGTAGCCTTGTGATAGGTCTCTTCATCTTCATGGTTACATAATCTGACATAATCAGATATGTCAAAAATCAGCTTGATTCCCTGCAAATGAAAAGCATGAGACCGTTATTACTGAAGAGAAAAGCTGCCACCTGATGGACAATGTAGAACCTGCAGGCGCTCAGCAGGCTACTCTTCCCTCGGACAAAACATGAAGCTTTCTATGTTGACTTTTTTCTTTTCTCTTGTTGCGCAATATGTATTTTTTATTGACTTCAAATATCCTGTATATTTAACATAGTTTTTAATTGAACTGGGTAAATCGTGTTTCCCCATGTACTGTCTACAGAATCAGAATCTCTAGTTCATTCTAGCTGTGTTAATACTCACAATATAACTCTGGTGTGAGCAGGGCCACAGCACGATATATCTCTGTGTTATCTATTGAAGCTGTCAGTTTGTTATCTGCAGTCGATCTTGGTTTTATATCCTGTTCCTGTGCTATTTTTAGTGTACCTGTCCTTGGGACAGAAAATCATGGCCACTCCTCTGACGTGGGATGCAACCACACGGCAACAACAAAGGCCACAGTGACACAGTGACAAGTACGGTAAATAATGCAGTTTACAGTTAAACCCCAGCTGAGGACCAAACTGACAGGAAGCCATTTAGCCAGAAGCAGCATTGCTTTCATCCTTAAACACATATGTTTTGGCGTGTAAAAAAATCAGGAAGATGACTAACTGCAGTCAAGTACAAGGTGCCAGTTTAAATATAAAATCCAGATTTGTGAGTATGAATAAATCACAGTGAAATCTACGATGAGCTGCATTAATAATTACATTATTTCACCTATACTCAAAGTGTGACACTGCCATTCGTGTCCAGCGACTTATCAAGAGTCCATACATAGTTCCATGACATGGTGACAAACGCTCCCTTCAGATCAGAGTCTCTGGAGAGATTCATAATCTGACGTTAACTGTATCTAGTTAGAAGAAAAGAAAAGAAGTAACTGATTTTAGGAAATATATTAAAACAAATGTCATAAAGTTAAAATATCATTTTCAGATAAGTATCTCATGCTTTTCATTGATTTATGTTGTGATTTTTTTTATTTATTCACACGACTTTGTTTTTGTTGAAACATCTCTGAGCAAAGTCAGATATGAATTTGAGTTATTCAGAAAACAGTAAATGTATCAGCTTCCTCAATGTTGAAATCGAGTTTCTCTTACAAGTAGCTAGTACAAAAAACATCATGCAAAACCATAGTCAAAACAGAAATCATGTTTTTATTACTAAATAAAAATTGAAACTACAGGCTTCCAGACGCACGACGTCGACTTCGACGTCAGTTATTTGGGCACGTGATTGTCCAGAGAACCGTTCAGAGGAAACAGCTGATCCGTCTACAAGGAAACTTCCCCGCCGGACCATCAACACCCTCACACACAGTGAAACGGCTTTACATCGCTTGAACACAGCTAGAGGTCGCTGTTTGTCTACAAAAAGGCAACAAACAAGAAAGTTACCGTCAATGTCTCGGCTGTAGTGGAATGCACAGGTCTTACGCGTCCACCTCCCCAACCTAACGTTAAACTGTTACACTCCGGTGGTCGTGATTATGGTGAGTTTGCAGTCAGGAACAGATGATAGTGTGATTTATCGTGGAAACCGACAGGAAACCACTAGTGGGCTGTGACACACTCATGTAAATGGCAGCCAGTCGTTTTTCTATTTGTCTTAACTTGTGTGTTTTTGATTGATGGGACACTGAAAAGTTATTGTAGCCATGGCAATGATGTTTCTTGCAAAATTCCGACCCTACTTAGATACTGTACTTTGGTCAGGGAGACAATAAAGTAACCAACTAAACAATATGAATAACACTAGCCAACATACAGCAACATCTGCATTGCTTACTACAGGGTGCATAGGTGGTGGACAGGGTGAATAGTTCCTAGAGGATAGAATAAATCCAGTATTTTCATGATAAAAAAGCAAAAAAAAAAGTACATAATTTACTGTACAATAGTTTTTTTTCTCTTGTTTACTATCATTTTAATTGCCTTGCAACCCCTTTCAGGATCTCAATCCCATGTTGGGAACCACAGGCCTACTATACGTACAGGGAACTGACAAATACCACATAATATGCTCCACTTGTCAGATGTAGATTTAATTATTTGAGTACATGTTTAACTCTTATTTTCTGTTACTTTTCCTTTCTTGCCATGGTGACCACCTTTATCTTTTTCTCATCTCCTTGTTTAAAGATGAACTTCAGCTCAAATGCCCTTTGCGGCAGTCACACCAGCAAAGAAAACATTCCAGCTTCAAGCAAAACAGATGCTCTGAAGGTCCAGCGACCCAAGCAGCGGACAGTCCTCGGTGTGTTGTCAGAAAATGAGCAGTGTGGTCGATCGCTCAGCCAGGTCAGTGAGAAAGGCACAGTGGAGAACATTACGTTTTGTGATTTTCAACTCAATTTCCCCTCACAGAACATTCATATTTCAACTTGATGTGGCAATCGTGTTGATCCCTTTTTCTCCACAGGGAAGCCAATTTTCCAAACACAGTTCAATCTCAGACAGCTCCCAGCTCGCCTTCCTTGGCCGTTCCTCCACTTCCAACTTTGATGTGTATGTTGAGGAGGCTTGTGAAGTTGTTCTGGCGGCTTCCGGTCAGGAAGTGGTCTCAGACAGCTATTACCTAGATGGCAAAACTGCTGCACTGCAACATGAAGAGTTGAAACTTCTGCTGGAACTCAGTTCAAGTGAGTTTTGGCAAATACAAAGACACCTACCAAGACTTTATTTCTTGGTCAGTCTTTATTATCTTTACCACTGCTGTTCATTCTTGTAGGTTTATGCCAGGATGCTTCTATGCAGCCTGAACCAGATACATCCTTGATGTCAGAGGAGGTGCTTTGTGTTTCAGAGTATGCAGAGGACATTCACCTGCACTTGAGGGAGAGTGAAGTGCGTAATTATCTGAACTATGAGGACTAAATCATTTTTTTAATGGGTAGCATTAAATGCATTGTAGTTGTGATGTTTTGCTCCTCAGTTCATTGCAAATACCTCATAATAACTGTTTTTGTCCCTGATGCCAGATGAGGACCAAGGCAAGGCCAGGCTACTTAGAAAAACACCCAGAGATCACCAACGACATGCGGGTCATCCTGGTGGACTGGCTGGTGGAAGTCGTCCAGGAATACACGCTTCGTTCTGAAACTCTGCACCTGGCTGTCAACTATTTGGACCGCTTCCTCTCCTGCACGACATACGTGAAACGGGGCAAGCTGCAGCTGGTCGGTACAGCTGCATTGCTGATTGCTGCGTAAGTACATGTTTGTGTTTTCTAAATCTTTCACACGTTTCCTGTTCAGTCCAGTCACTGATTTGTTAAAACCTTTTGTGGCCGTGGTAAGGATCACCTTATGGAGTTGTAGTGACTCAGTGATTGATGACGATTTACAACCTGATGCCGCCTGATCTGTCACCTTGTAGAAAATACGAGGAGATCTTCCCTCCGGAGCTGAACGAGTTTGTGTACACCACAGACAACACCTACACTAAGAAGCAACTGGTCCGGATGGAGGATGTTTTCCTCAGAGTGCTGGCTTTCAAGATGGCAGCCCCCACCACAAACCAGTTCCTACGCCTCTTCATGTCCATCCACTCTGTCTGTGCCAACACAAAGAACCTTGCCCTTGTGAGCAGAATCAATAACTCAAATGCCAGCCAGATTAGAAATCTTGTGCCCACTGCCTTTGAAGTTACAGTTTCCCATGTCCCTTTATCATATTTTCATTTGGTGATGTGTGTTTTTTTCTGCTTCTAGTATGTAGCAGAGTTAAGCCTGCTGGAAATTGATCCATTCCTACAGTACACCCCATCTATAACAGCAGCTGGAGCTTACTGCCTAGCCACTTACACTGTTAACAAATCTCTCTGGGTAAGTTTGTCCAGACCAATGGCTTGAGATGAGATTTTATTAGGGAATTGGCCAAAACGTGACTTTTTAGATTATTGTTTTTCTTCATATTTTAGCCTGATTCCTTACATACCTTTACTGGCTATACCATGGCTGAAATTGTGCCTTGCATGACTGATCTCCACAAGCTATACATCAGTGCAGAGAGTCGCCCACAACAGGCCATCAGGGAAAAATATAAAAGTTCCAAGTAAGGTATAGTTGATAGTTGTCGTTTTTTAAAGAAGTTTAACATATATGTACCTTTGGGATCTTTCATGTGTAGTTTGCCTGGGTTGTTAATGCACCTTGACAATTTGACATCTCTGAATGGATGTCTTTTATCTCTCCATTTACAGGTATTGTGGTGTTTCATTGCTCACTGCACCTGCTGATCTGCCATTCCTATGAATAACTGCCCCACCCTTCTTTGACGCTTCTGCCAGAACATAATTAGATTGAGAACAAAACAGAAACAGCTCATTCTACAGCCAATCCCATACATGCCACACTCCTCCGGACACTTAATTACCTTGAGTTTATTTTTCAGCATAAATTCATTGTCTATGCACATACAATAAATTATTTTAAATAAAAACTACTTCATGACTGAATAATTTTAATACTTGCAGGTGTTCATGCAAAAGGTTTTTAAAGCTGGTACGTCATCAGTGGTGATGTATATTTTATATATTTTACTTTATATCAGAATTGTGCTTGAATTACACCATCTTTCATATATTTTAGAGTGATTTAAAAAGATATTGATATAGACTTATTTTTCATATATCATATATCTGAGTAAAATAAATTACTACATGTAAAGGAAATGTGTTTTATTCATCCCAGATTCCTAGACATAAAGTTTTTTAAACTTCTATTTATTTATAGTAGCAATTTTAACGCGTAGTTTATGGATTTTATTTTGAAAGTATTGTCCGGAAGCCATTTTTGTCGCTCTTAATGCTTGTGTGTCACTGCTGGGAGGTGCGCTATATTTACTCAGAGTGAAGTGAACGCCTATTGATATACAGTAGGCTATGCTGGCGTTTTCCTATCTATGAAAGTACAGAAGGTCATTTGTTAACTGAAAGAGTCTCTTTGAAACCACTTTTTTATTGTTAGTTTTTTTTTGTTCTCTTTCCCCGAATATTCAAGTTCAGGTAAACCCGATTTAAGTTCATTATTTATTGTCCTGTCAGCCATGAAAAGGTATCATGATTTGAGCATTTGATACTGAGATGAAGAATACATGTGTAACTCTGCTATTTTACGAATAGTTTATGTGAATCTGTTGACAGAGGACTTTTTAAGAAAGCTCGCAGGCAAATATATCTTGTTGTTCAGGTTTAACCTGCTGTGTTCTCTAGCTCCCGGTATTTAAAACCCGTCATAGCCGCGGAGATTTTTTATCACATACTGTAATGCGTACCTGTTAGTGTTGGGAATATATTCAAGTTGTCCTTCTCTCTCACTGTTGCTTATTCTGTTTTTTAATCCCAACTGTCTCCCATTCATTTCACTGAAATCTACATTTTATAAATCATTAAGCCTAAAAACAAACTATGTGCACCAATAACTCATTATTCAATATGAATAGTATAATTATATCAATGTATATAAACCTGTCATTTATCTACACAATTTTAGGATTACTATAAAAACCTTGAAACTGCAGTTCCGACTTTTGTCTCACTTTGGAGATAGCGCTCTTGATTTGCGCTCTTTACTTTCTAGTTTCTGTATCCCGTCTACTCCTCAGTATGACTGAGCCTGCTGAGCTGCTGCTCATCAAGGGCCAGTATGAGTTGGCGTTTCATTCTCTGAGCCAGGGGCTGTCTGCCGAAGAGGCCGGGAAAAGAGCAGAGGCCCTGGTGTTTTACAGGAAAGGTCGACAGCACCTTACCCAGGGAGTGGAAGTCCCCACTGGAGGGGAGAGGCAGCGGGGAGCGGTCTGGGACACGGCCAGGCATCTTCAGCAGAGGATGGGGGACACTCTGAGGACTGTCAACACCCACCTCTCTGACCTCGAGACCTCTCAGCTGACAGAAGGATGCCAGAGGGTCCGCCTTTTGATGGATCTTCCTCCCAATCTTTACCCAGACCTGGCACAAAGCAGCCAGCCTCCACAGAGCTCCCTCAGCCATCTGTACCCCACTATACCTGCTACCACCCACAACACAACCCTAAACCCCCCTCCCAGGTCTCCTTCCCCTGACGTGCTGCACGCGCTCCCTGCAGCGACTCCGGGAACTTTAGCAATGGCTAACTCAGGGGACCAGCCTCCAGCATACACACCACAGCCAACTGTCGGCCACCGCAGTCTGTCCTACGGTCCCGCTAGAGGTGGCCTCAGGCCGGGGAAGCAGGCCGGAGCAACGGCAGGAGGAGATGGAAACGAGCTGCTTTTCATCCCCTCTGGGGTGCAGATGTTTTTCGTGGCACCAAACGGGCAGGTCAGCTCCCTGTCTCATCCAGGTTACCTTCGCATCATCACATTTGACAGTCAGCACAAGGGTTCCACTGCTGGAAGACCCTCAACATTTCTACATGTGAGTATACAGTGATAAGAGAGCAGAAAATCCTCACATTTTAGGAAAAAGAACTAGTGAATTTTTCCTTGAAAAAGATACATTTATTATCAAAATAATTCTGATTCAATAGAGTAATCAATTAATTTACTAATTATTTCAGCTCTAGTTACAATGTCGTCATTGCCTTCAAACTCTAGATGATATTAGTTGGCAAGATACTAAAGAATTAGCGGTATAATTTTGCTCTTTGCGTTAAATAAACAATTAAAAAAGATGCATATTTTATATTCTAAAATGCATTTGAGTTGCTTAACTTCCATCTGTTTTAGCATGCTAATAGAATACAAGTGTTGGAGGTTTGGCAAAAAGTGTCATATGACTTTTACAGCACAAGGTCTCATCCATAAGTATGTGTCCTATTCATGTGAAGCTTTTTGACAACCTGCTACTTCTGTGTGATGATTTTAATATTGAGTCCATATAAAATGTATTAAGTAACAATATAATGCATTCTGGCACCTCTACAAAGTGCGTATTATGCCGTGCTGTATACTGCAGCGCCACCCATGACTTGTTTCCCACCAGACCGGGCTGGTCGGCTGCTCTCCTGTATTCTGGCCATGCTTTGTTTCCCAGCAAGACAATGGTCCCATTAACAGATGACTCTGCGATTCTGTTGTGCTGCTGGTCAGTGTCATGAGCCCTCACAGGGGTCATTGTGTCGGGCGGCATACCAGTGGCACGATGCAGCAGCAAGTTTGTATCTGTATTATGTCTGTGCGGATGACTGACAGAAGGCCTGATGGGGCTAATGTAATGTGTCCTTGAGAGGTCAAACATCGGGTCAAAAGGAATAGGGGACACTGTACTTGCTGGGACATGACAATACATTTGTATGCCCTTTTGGGCTTCACAAGAAAGCAACTTTTACATATGAAGTGAATTCGGAAAATAGCCTTGAACAAGGGATGAACTTGGGCATGGATGATGATCTTCATCACTTCGTATTTTTTGTGTGTCTTTGTGTTTTCAAGGTGTGCGACTGGCTTTACCCGCTGACGGCAGACACTCCAGTGCTACTGGCTAACTCTGGGATCTTCATGTTCCCTGACACCTTGTCAGAGACGCCAGGGTCCTACGTGGGCATAGTGTTGTCCTCTGAACTGCCTGCTGTACATCAAGAGACGTTTCGGGACCTCCTCTCGCAGCTAGTTGACCTTAGGGTCCAGGTCAGTCTTTACTGTCAGTATGGAGCAAATCAAATGTGAGGATGGATATGCATGTGGTTGGGGTCAATGCTTTGGAACAATATGTGTTTGAACAGAATAGGGTGTTTAAATTTTACCAACAGGTAATGTAAATACTTTAAAGACTACACCTTCTTGTGTAATCCAGAGTCTCACAGTGTCACTCTTCTCTTTTGACACTTCAAGAGGAACTAAATAGTTGTTATGTTGTGGGTGAAAACATTCTTAGCCAGCTGAGGCTTACTGAGGCTGAGTAAGCTGAGGCTTACAGAAATGTACATCACCTGTTTGGGTGTATGCACAATTTAAAAGCATCTTACAGTTTGTCCTTTCATGATAACCGATGACAAATATGACTTGATGGATCCCCTGACAGGATCCAGAGGGGGAAGGGTCAGAGGTCATCAACCTGAGTGAGAAAATCCCCCTTGGTCCCATGAAAGAGCATGAAGGACTTACAGTGCCAACAGGGACGAAGGACAAAGCACCACTTCCTGGATGGAGTGAGAAGATGGGGCAAGGAATCTTGATAGGTGTGTTTGTGTGAGCCTTAATAAAGGAAAAACAAACAAAGACAACATATCAGTGTACGCAGACTGTATATACAGTACAGTAGATGTTCTCCTGTCTACAGAAATAGCCACTAGAGGGCATTGTTTACCTTTGCCTGAACCGGATTGAGTGCTGCAAAGAAAACTTTGTCCAACCATATCATCATACGCATATATTAGATATTTTAACAGCACAATCAATGATATTGCTAATTTACATATAACACCTAAAATTATATTTAATGTCTGTAGGAGCTACACGGTTGAGTGTAGGGGTTGTAAAAGGAGCAGAGGCCACTGGTAGGGTCATTCATAAAGGAGCAGACAAGATCCGGGACCACATCACACCTGAGGAAATTCCTTCAGAGGTCAACCCTCATGTCACCAAAGGTCTGCGGGTGGCTAAACAGGCCAGCGGGCGTGCTGTTCGAGTCAGCCAGTTCTTAGGTGAGAACGTAAACTGTATTTGTCACACTGATGATGAAAATACAACTGTCTTTTGGGTGGTAATCAAACTTTTCACATGGCTGAAGAAAACGCTTGATTTTTCTTAATTTCTTCCTTTTTTAAAGGACTGTGCTGTGCATTGATATGACTATGTATCTATATGTTTGTACACATTTACAGTTAATGGAGTGAGTACTGTGGCAGGACACATGGCAGACAAGATTGCTCCCCATGTGAAGAAACAGAGCTCTAAGCTGGTCCCAAAGTCTATGAAGAACAAAGATGGCAGACCTTCCAACTGGGGTGGAGCCAAGTTTGTGGCAGTCAGCAGCATACACAGTATGTACCAATATAATAGAGATTTCAGGATCAAACATGAAGTGAAACTATATCACATATATTCATGTACATTGTCTTACACTGTTGTCACTATTGTAACAGACAAAGGTCACAAACATTGAGTCATGTTTTGACATTTGAAATATTTGCTTAAACATGGGTGATCCAAATCTTTCTTCAGTTCTCAAACATTTTCTTTTTTCTTTACACCCAAACCAGGTTTCTCTACTGTTTGGTCTAGTCTGGAGACCGGAGCAAAGCTTGTTGGCAAAAGTGTCACAGCAGAGACGGTCACGACGATGACATACAAGTAAGTTCTGACATTTCCCATTTCCACTTCTTTATTTTTTTAATAGAAACTTTCTCATCAATAAACTATTGCAGATCTTGTTTCCAGCCTTATTCTGAATCTATTTGGTTTCTTTAAACAACAATAGAACACCGGATCAGAAACAAGCCTACTGTGTTGCTTTCTTCTTGGTACGTTGGGAAACTGATCTGCTTTCACACCTATTTCTTTTCAGATTTAAGGGCTTAGAAAATCTATTAAAAATGTCCAGCAACATATGACAGCACGGGGGAGTAAAGGCAAAGACTTGTGAACTAACAACTGATCAACTCTTTCATGTACTGCACACTCTTTCATTAACCTATTTCGAGTCTAACCCTGAATGACATTCTCCAAATCCAACGCAACAGCTTACACAGAATTGTCTTTTTTAATAATTTATATCTAGACATATAAACGATGTGTTTTGGGTTCTTTTCTGACTTGATGTAGTTTAAAGCTTCTGTTCTGTTTGTGGGTTTTTGGGTCTGGTAACTGCAGCTACATGTCAGCTTGTGTTGGGTGGTGCTGCTCTTGCTGTTCATACTTTCTGTGGCCCCTTTCCTGGTTTCTTACTAATAAAACTACTACAAAGTCAAAAATGACTGTTTTTCTTGGCCTTTGGTGTGTTGATGTGAATGACTGCAGTACCAATATCACCTATCACATTGCTCCAGCATTTTAATTCTGTACACACCCTCATTTATTTTTATTTACACCAAACCACTCTTCCCTTACACCATGTTATTCGTGGTGAAGGTACGGTGACGAAGCAGGCGAAGCTACAGACAATGGTCTCAAGTCATTGATCAATGTTGGTGTGGCTGCGTACAACTTTGACAATCTGGGCATCAAAGCCATCCTGAAGACTGCAGGGAAGCAGACAGCCAAGGCCATGGCCAGGCCGAGGGAGCAGCCAGCACAAACTCAGGGAAAGGAGGTGCAGAAACGAGAACTTCAAGCAGAGACACATGGGAAGGAAAAGCAGATGAAAATGGAGACTGAGTAGTCAAAAAAGGATTCCCACAGGAAGTTTAATGCTTTGCTTGAAGTGTTCTGTCAGATTGATGGAACAACTCATCATTTACATATTTATACAACAAAAATGATTATTTGTGAATGTAAAAAACAATAAGGAAAAATACTGGAATAAGTCAAAATGCAAATTTACTCCACAAGTTATTAAAGTTATATATATTTAGGTGTTGGCTGCATTGTTTTGTGTTACATGCATCCTTTTTTGTGATAGTATTTTAGGTTGTCATGATGTATTTATATGTATATATTTTGTCTATATTTTACAGCCTGTATGACAAAACAAAATCTGTGTAGTTTAGCAGTAAACAGAAGACTTACATATTGACCACTTCCATCTGTATGAAAGTGCAATAATAATGCCAAGCACACAAATGTTGTACATCAATATATAAACTGTACATTTTAACCATGATAACCAGAGATTCATTTTTTATATTGGATGTTTCTTAAAAGGTGTAGATGGACAAAACAAATTATCAGTTATCTTTCTTACACACGTGCTGTTGTTTTTGCAATTAAAATAAGATAATCTGCGAGATAAATTCAATTAACATTTATAGGTCGTTAATGTTTCCTGTTGAATAAAGAGCTCGGTATACAGAAGTAAATGTAATGTCTAATTAAGCGCGAAAATCACTATGTGACGAATATCATTAACGAGTTATTTATTTGCACATTTATTCGTATCGTATTAAACCGTAAAGAGGTCTTTATTTTTAAATCCCCCGCTGATCTGCGCCATTATATCCGAGGCCACCCGAACGAACCGGAAACACTGGTCTCCATGGACACTGCGAGGCACAAACTTTTCTTCGGTTGATCTCAGTTTTTCTAAAAACATGACTGGAGATAGCGACTACAGCAAATACGACTTGGCACGCCTGCAAGCAGAACTTGAGCAAGAGAGGGAGATTAAGTAAGTTTGTTTGAAATACATGCATCGCTTACAAAGCTATCGAGGAGATTAAATGTTATTCTAACCCTCCAAAAACAGAGAGATGCTTGAAGAGTCCGTGTCAGATCTGCGGAGTACCATGTGCGAACTGCAAGAAAGACTGCACAGTGTTGACGGGGAAGGTTAGTAACCTTTAAGTGTTTTTCTTTTCCTTCTATATAACGTTAGTTATATATCTGTCACCTTCACCTACAGTGGCCAGATGTTACCCAACAATCCACTGGTTTCAGCCCAGCACTGTAATGTCCCTAATGAGACAATGGTGTGACAGCTTCCTCTGCTTATTCTCTAACAGGAAATGAGTGGAAGACAAGGTATGAGACACAGATCGAGCTAAATGGACAGTTGGACAGACAGATGTCACTCATTCATGAGAGACTGGAGGACCTACGAGGAAACCCCATGGGTGAGTTCACAGGCTAGTGACCGCGTTCAAAGGGGTTTAATGCTGTAAGTTCATTTGTTCGGTTTTTATTTGAATATGTACACATCAAATCAAGCTGTTCACAGCAGTTACATACCTCAGAGGACTATACAATACATTCCTAGTGATTATTTTAAATCCTAAAACCACTTTCGGGCAAGCTCAAGATCTACACATGAAGCAGCTCAGGGCTGTTCCTCTGTCTCAATCTTTCAACTGTAGCGTATGAAAATAACAATGTTCACTGTGATATATTCACCCCTCTCAAGCAAGTATGTGTTTTAAAGCATGCACACATATTGCTCACACACACTCTTGTTTTTTCACAGATCGATTGGCCTCCATCCGATCCTATGATGACATGTCAGCAGTGAGTGCAAACATGTTCATTTTCTACTGAGCTTTTTCCTTTTCTGTCTTGTGGTATTGGTGTCATCAGAGTTTTTTCTTTTTTCAAATGCAAACCCTCAGAGGTATACTTTTTTGTGTCATATCTCACAGGTGCTTTATTCTATCATTCCAATTTTTTTTGTTCCTAATAACTAATGAGTGCTTTTTAAAATTATAGTTTTAAATACTAAAGTGTTGGAGTCCTGGGGGTCAAAAGCAACCAATTGCAGCCTTTGCAGTATTCATGAATACATCAATTGTTTTGTCTTTCGATGACATTAATTAAAGTAATATTTTTTTGAGAAGAAATAAGTTAACATTTTGTTTCTTACAGTAGTTTATTTTTGTCGGTACCCCAGTCGTTGTATGTTGAATATGTTGGTAGGATGAGGGTTAACAAACAAATGGGGAATGAGGGGAGAAAGCAGGAAGGACAGACAAGATTGTAACACCAGCTGCTGTCCATCCTCCCGCTGATGCAGGCTGAATCCACCACAGTTTAATCACAGCACTGTAATCACAGGATTACAAACCATGGGAGAGTAATGCACGCTAATTACAATGCTTTAGCACACATGAATGCACAACACTCACTAAAAGGTTGTACAATGCAGTCTCAATATGGATCTGTGTGCCTTAAGGCAGAACTAACAGATGCTCATTCTTGATTCCAAGGAGTGACTGTCCCTTACGAACTGTGAGCATGACAGTAAATTAGACGTTAGACATTAGTATGTGAGAAGAATATGGATTTTATTTTTAATGGCATGTCATAGTGTCTACAGCTCCCAAGAAAGAAGCTTGAACATTTCACCGACAGATTCTGCAGCATCATACTAGTGTCATCATGCTAGTTTTGACACCTAAGAGGTGGACAACGCATATTCATCTGCATATGATGGACCACAGTCTCATAATTATGAGCCTGCTAGGTGTACAAGAGAACAGGAACAGACAAGGATTATAAGAAAACTGATGGATATCATAAATAATTTGAATCCTTCTTCCACCCCTGACTGTAACATTTCATTATTAATGAAATACTCAGCAATTGGCTGATCGAGCACCGTACAGGTATAATGCATAAATATGCTTAACGTATAATGCTGCGTCTTTAATCACACTGATTACAGTGGTTTTCATTAATGCTGACAACAGCTGCTTATTGTTCCAAAACTCAGATATACCAAGTCTCATTGCTGTCCTCTGGTTATTGAATAATGCCTAAACCATTTTGTGCTCATCATTTCTGCATGAAGTATTCTCTTATTGTTTAATCCTAGTAGAAAGCACCATTTAATTCTATTGATTTGTAATTAGACATCAGCAGTGCAACTTCTTTGTTATGAATGTTGCTAATTGATGGAAACACTTTGCCGTAGGAAACGCTGAGACAGCGTCTGAAGCTCCTGACGGAAGAGAAGTCTGACCTGCAGAGTCAGCTGATGGACTGTCGTGGCAGAATCGAACAGGAGGGAAAGGTGTGGACCACTGCTCAGTTTGAGGCATTTTGTGTTCAGTATTGTTGAGGGTCATAATGTCTGCTGGTCCAGTTTTATCATTTCTCAGACAAGCCGCTTACATTTTGTTCCAGGTATTACATATTTCAGAGACAAATTACCATCATTAGCAAAGGATTGAAAAAGATTTGGCTGGAATGTTTTACATTCTTTCTTTCTAACAACCATTGATGGAAAATTGAATCCTAACCTTTGTCCTGTACTGCTACGACCAGGCCGGTATGCTCTTAGTTTGGCGTCTCTGTTCTTTGTTTATTGTTCTGCTCAACAAACAGAAAGATATTGAGTAGAATAAAAGTTTAACACGCAGCATGCGCAGCCAGTAATCCATGTTCTAATCTGTTGCTCATTAACACTGAAGACCTCCTGAAATAATACACACAGGCAGCGAACGCATAACAAGCACTGCACTCTGAGCAGACAGATTACTACTGACAGTTGGAACAAGTGCTGTCCATGAAAGGAGGAATGTGACAATAAGGCCCTCTGTTTCTTTCCAATACCAGGCATTTCATAAAACCAATGATGAGAGGCGGGCATACCTTTCAGAAATTGCTAAGGTAAGCATTCTCTTTCATCCATGTCAACAGTAGTGCGAGCAAGGAGCTCTCAAACCAAACCGATTGACCGCTAATTAAATGTATGCCCCACTGAAGAATAGCTGTCATGGTTAAACTGTACTAAAGGATAATTCAGTGCAGACTGGCGTGCTCCCTGGCTTTTCTGTTTCAGGCCGAGTTATGGTTTCTCATTCATCCTCCAGTGCTGCGCTCGCTTGTTATATAATAGCTGAGTGTCTGTTCAACCACCAAAGTGAGTCAAGGACTTTCTGTCTGATTGCTGCAACAAAACTGGTTCCTGCAGGGCTCAAACGGACGCAGCTGCAAGGAAACTACTTTTTTTCCCTCAATATTTTCGCAAACAAATCTTGTGACAGCATTTGATAGCTCAGGCCTGCCGTAAACACAAAAAGCACACATGCATCTGCTTACATCCATAAACAATATTAGTGTCTGGAGTGCACTTGGTGTCATTACTCATTAATTGTCCTCTGACACAGCTGTCCTCCACCCTTGAAGCCCAAAGAAGACAGTACTCCACCCAGCCACAGAGGGCAGCAGAGAGCAAACAGAGGAGGTCAGTGAGACAAAACATTACAAGTGATGGATTCAATTACATCAACTGTGAACAATCTCAAAAATGACTGTTGAGTCTAAAAGAACATCAGGGGCTTCACATGGGTAACCATTGTCTGTTTGCTCGGAATATGTTAATTTGATACCAGCTGTTTTTATTAAATATATAACTTTTTACTTGATTTATTTGTAAGGAACCGAGTACAATATTTTATATGAAGTAAATGCTGCCATTTGATGTATTTTAGTCTTAGAGTTACAAGAGAGCTAATATTAATCTGCAGTCCATTGGCAGATCCCAATGAAATACACAACGTACGATATAAACATGGAACTAAAATGACCAAATTAAAAACCGCAAAAGTACATATATTGCTTTTAACCAACATCTTTATTTACCATTCATGCTGGAACTCCAGTTGTTATGGAAGATATTGTAGGATGCCCTCCAATTGAAGGGAGACAAAATCACATAACAGGAGAAACCAATATTTTAACATTTGATGCAGAAGATAAACTAAAATCAGTTTATTGACATCCATGACTCTTAAACTATGCTCACTACATGATATACTGTAAGTAAATAGTATCCTTGTATCCGTGTATATTGATTGGCTTTGCAGTCCGACTTGATTTTGCAGTTGGTGTACTGTTTTGATTTGCAGCTAATAAAGTAATCATGCTGGACAAATGAGCTCAGAAGTAATAAATTAATACATTCTGAGATGTATCTTTTGATACTATTGTTGCAAGATTTGAATTGAGAAATGTGTTATTTTATCTCTCTGAAGCACATTAATAGAAAACATTTTGTATCTGTTGCATGTTTCTGCTAAACTAACTATATTTTCTAATTGCATAGAGGGAGGCAGACCAGCAGGAAGGCAGAGGCTGGTTCTAAGAAAGGAAAAGAGAGAGAAGAAGAAGATGGAGGAGGAGATTGTGTGAAAGAAGGAGGAGGTGGTGGAGCAACAGCAGAGAGGGAAGAAGAATATAATTCCAAGAGGGAAAGCGGGTTACCCACACTAAAGTATACTACCTGAAACACAATCCTTTAAAAAAAACAGGTTATCTGACTTTGTTTACATTTCTCAAAAGATGATTGTGAGGAAGGTTATTTAGCCATGTGCCACAGTCAGTGCTGTTTTATTCAGTGTTCCTTTTCAATTGATGAATACAGTGGTATAACATGTTACATTTCTAAGTCTGGCATTATTATTTCCTTACAAGTTTTTTTGTTTCAGCAAAAAGAGTATGTAGGAGGAATATTACAGGCTCCGAGGGCAGCACGGCCATCTCCTAATGTGCCAGAAGCCTGCCAAGTCTGACATTTCTTGTGTCACTACATTTCTTTTTTTCAAAAACAACTCCTACGACTTGTATTACGTAAGCAACACCACATCCACCACTCTCTCCGAATGTAGTTCATCCACAGAGCAACCAGTCACCCCCGTCCCACCCACTGACCACCTTTACAAACGTAGGTGTTGGAAAAGTATCCATATGAGTTGCAGTAGTGAATAGAAATTATTGCCAGAAGCTGTTTTCATTTGTTTTTGTGAAGAAGTGTGGAGGCTCTTAAAAACTGAACTGAAATAATACTGTACTGTACTAAAGGCATGGTCTCATGTCTTGTCTACAATCATTAGAACTGCACAGTGTTAATTGTGTTTTTGGGTGTACTTTCCCTTTACAGGTCCACTCATGTTTCTGATAGAGTTGGCGGACCATGTGTGCGATCCATTCATGTGCTGCAGTGACTGGTTGTTTGTCTTAGATTAATGACTTAATTTAAAGATGGCTGGTCCATGTTGCCCTCTGAAAGAGTGAGCACATTTACAGCACACGACTCTCTACCACCTCTTTCTCCCCCGTCTCCTCTTTTTCTCTCCGTTTCATGCACAAGCTCGTTTTAGTACAACTCTCTGCGTCCGGGCCCATGAATCACACTGCCACAGAGTAACCACCTAGATGCCTCCAGCTGACAGGGGAAACACGGTGACAAATCACTACAGTATCTGTCAAAACACCACAAGTCACACCACTGCCCATGCTCCAGTCACCGCACTCACTGCAGTGTGCTGCAAACAATTACATGCAAAGTGTGTGTATAAAAGACTAGTTTGCAATTGTGCATTCATGTGCACGGGTGAGCCAAATATGCATGTGAATTGTCTTGAGTTATACTCTTATCTTAAAACCTGTATGATGTGTCATAGTGACAGACTTTGTTTTGTAGCATAAAGATGCAGTGACAGAATGGATTGCGTATCTTTGTACAGTAGCATCTGTCAACAGTCTGAGTGGGTGGGTTTTTAAATTTCTCTCTTGGGCTGTGAAATTAAGACAGATTTAAGACACTATTTAGATACTATGTAAACCATCAGTCCATCCATCCACATCGGAATGATCTCTGTTTTTATTACCATTCTCTTCACGAAAATGCGTGAGCAGAGATGTGCTAAGTGGTGCTTTTCTTGTGTTTTTTTAGTGTCTCTGAAACAACTTTTGGAGTCACAATGTCACTGAGTCACTGAGAAAAGGTTATTTATTGTGAGGGACAGCAGATGAGTCTGATCCACATTAAATGTGCCCCCAAAGGCACTTTGATAGCCTTAGTCAAAAATGCCAAAATTCTCTATCCCTTTATATACAAGCCTAGTCATGCTCCAGGTGCAGAGAGCATATTTCAATCAATATCATACAGAGTTGCACTCAAGACTGAATCATGCTTTAACCTCTGAAATGCCTGTATTTATTCACAGCAATGCTCAAATCCATCCATTTCAATGTCCCTATGTTGAATGAACACATGTTGACACTGACAAATATCAGATTTGAATTGCAAATTCTGATGCATTAAGAATTGAAATGAGACCACGGTGCTGTTAAGTAAAGACACGTTTTTTCATGTGTGCTCTGTTTCCCCATAGGATTCATTTAGACAGGAACACCGATCAGCTCTCAGTTTGTGATGCCCGCTGGGTCCTTGTGTGTGTGTGTGTGTGTCTCACCGAAATAGCTTTTTTTTTTTCTTACATTCTTACATTCTAATGCATTCATGTGCATGTCGTAAAACAGGCAGGTCTGTGCACGGAAGCAGTCAAGAAAGAGGCAATCACACACTGTATTTGATCATTAAAATGTCAGATATATTCATGTAAGTTCTGGATTAGTGAACTGGAAAGTATTATGATATGTGACCGTCTAAAAGAAGCATCAAACGTGAGTCAAAGAACGTGAGCATTTTACATTCTAAATCAGTAAAATGTTTGACACATAAAGCAATGTCTTCCACCTGTTAAACCCCTGTTAATACAATGATAGGAACACTATTTTAAGAGAATGGGGCCGTAACTTTCACCACCACTGGCACAGATCAATGCTGGGTAACACACACACACGCACACACATACAGTACAGTTCATCAGGGAGTGGTGATGGAACAGAAATGGGTGGTCTCTGGAGGCCAGGATGTAGGTCAGTGGTCTTTATCACTTCCATTGCTCGGAGAGCCTATTTCCTGTCGTCACATGCAAACAAACTTCAGAGGTATAAGAAGAAACAAGCTTATGACAATGAGAGAGCAGCATCCTCTCCAGCCCTCATCTCTCTTTCTGCATGTCAATTTATGGAGTCCTGTTTGACTCAACTTAGTATGTTGAAATCTTTTAGACATGTAATTCAAATTGAGTCTTTATACACAAGATAAATACGTGGGATTGGGTAAAAATCATACTTGTCACACTGCATTTGGCTCACTCTGAAAGCTGCTTTGCATAGTTTGAATTGAACGGTTTAGGTTGTAGCTGCCTTGAGACCCTTAGAGTATATGTTATAGTAAGTGTGTTGCATAACATCTCACGTGCAAATGTTGTTGTGGGTTAAACATAATGCTGCTCTGTGCTTATAGTCTCATGGTTTTGATGAGATGTGATTGGCCTACACACCAAAATATAGGTTATACTTAATAAAGTAATTCATATTCACAAACATGTAGACATAGCATATATGTGAAATTAAATTTAAGATACTCAATTAAGGTAGGAAAAATAAATTGTCATAAAAGAGGGAAGATCGACCCCCCCCCGGCCGACGCGTGTCTTCGGGACTGGGGGTGGTTGCAGGACCAGCAGCATCCCCAGCACGAGTGGGAAGCGTGGGTTTGCATTCTAACATAAGGGGTGGGGGGCGCTGAATGGAAATCACGACAGTGACGTTGAGGAGGAGAGAGAAGGTGGGTGCAAAGAGAATGGGAGGGGGGAGCAGCTGCCTACCTAGTTCATTTCCAGTCCAGCCTCTGCTTGGCTCACTACGCACACACATAAACACGCGCACACTGGTGTTTGGTGGTGGGGCTAGTCAACCGGACAACAAAGGGACGCACAGGGGGGGCTCTCCGCAGCCAGGATAGGACCACACGTTACCAGCATCCAGTGTCAGCGACCAGCTCACTGAACTCTTTTTGTTGTCATATCTACTGGGGAAATAAAGCACCAGTCACACTGGAGGTGACCGTCAGAGAAGCGTTAATTGCTCACGTAGGTAAGGCTGTCAACGCGCTCATCATCAGCTGATATAAAAGCAATTCATACTTTAATATGTCATTTGCAGCGTTGTTTGAAAACACACTTCTCTTAACGACTGACGCGTCTTGATATGCAGACAAGAAAGTAAAATGTCTTTATCTGAATCCTTGTTGAAGTGCTAATTATTTCGGTGTCGCACTTTTATATTGACTCCCGGCTGCTGGTCGTCCGACTGCGCGTTCTGATTATTCATAAAGAGGACAATTGATAGGCTGTTATTGATTCGTGACTACCGATCTCTCTGCATCCATCTGCGCCTCGGGACAACTCAGGCGCACTGTGACTGACAGTGTGAGTCGTCATGAGGCATGCTGTCCACTGCTCGGCTTAAGAGCACTTAATCTGTCATTAGGGAGTTATTTTCAGACAGTGCACCATTGACGGTCACCGGCTGGCTCCTTTACCAGCCGCCCGCACCTCTCCAGTTGGTTTTCTTCCTTTTTTGCGGCACCGCTTGTTATTGTTTACTTTGTTCGTTAGAGGAAAACTTTTCACCGCGGCCTGATCCTCCTGTTTGTCCCTGCCAGACAGTACGGCCGTACTTGTGAGCCTCGGCAACGCGATGGAGATGGAGCATTTCGACGAGCGGGACAAAGGTCAACGACACGGCCGGTCCAGTGCGAAGTTGAACGGCGTGCCGAGTCCAACACACAGCGCCCACTGCAGCCTGTACCGGACCCGGACCCTGAAGACTCTGACCACGGAGAAGAGAGCCAAGAAGGTGCGTTTCTACCGCAACGGAGACCGGTACTTCAACGGGATAGTATACGCCATCTCCACAGACAGGTTCCGGACCTTTGACGCCCTGCTGGCGGACCTGACCCGCTCTCTGTCCGACAACGTCAACCTGCCACAGGGCGTCCGGACCATCTACACCCTGGATGGCTGCAAGAAGATCACCAATATTGAGTTGCTGGTAGAAGGTGGGTAGCCTCAACGGCATTACACCACACCTGGGGGACTACCCCTTTAAATGTGCAGGTTCATCCGTTCCTCTCATGCACCTGGACGCGTGGCTTTATCAGCAGAGCAGTCCAATCTAAAATGTGTCGAAGCATCTCTTCCTCTAAAACAACAAACACTGCCTTATCTGTCAGCTGCCAAGTGATCATTCCCTACTCACCTCCCTCTTGTATAGAATAAAGTAACAAACCTAAGACTGTGGGGAATGTGAAGTGAGCAATCATTTACAGGTTTAAGGCTCACCAAGATATTTATTGCCACTGCTCTATAATACTGGCTAAGCACGCTTTAGATTATTATGAAGATTATAGGCCTATCACTCATTTGATGGCCATATGGTGATACAGACATATGTTTTGGCTCAGATTATCTCTCTCCTGATCTGTTTTACTCTCTAAGAAGTGACATGGGAAGAACTACAAGTGGTGGCCACTATTTAGCCTTTGAAGGAAATCCGGCAGCAAAATATCCTAAATCAGTATATTTTAAATTTTCAATCTATTCATTAATGTATTATGCTGCCCACTCCTGGAATAATAGAGCCGTTGCTAGATTACGAGATGTTACACAGAGCAAAAGCTAGCCTGTGTATCTGCCTTCTTCCTTTCTTTACCTTTCTTCCCTGTATTCTGTCATATTCTTCACAATTTGCTCTCTCTCCCATTAGAGATTCTCATTCCTTTTTGTTATTTCTGAAGCTCATCTAATTCCCTCCAATGTTTCTGTAAGTAACCCCTCCCTGCTTTCTTCTCCTCCCCTTTACCCCAACAGGTGACAGCTACGTGTGCAGCTCCATCGAAGCTTACAAAAAGTTGGATTACACAAAAAACGTGAACCCCAACTGGTCTGTGAACGTCAAGGCCTCGGCTGCGTCCTCCCGCGGGCCTCCCTCTCTGGGCAGCGCCAAGGCCGGTGGCCCAGAGAGCCGCGAAATCAAGGACTTCATACGTCCGAAGCTTGTGACAGTGGTGCGGAGCGGAGTGAAGCCCCGCAAAGCTGTGAGGATCCTTCTGAACAAGAAGACGGCCCATTCCTACGAACAAGTCCTGACCGACATCACTGACGCCATCAAGCTTGACTCCGGAGTGGTGAAGAAGATCTACACACTGGAGGGCAAACTGGTGAGAAATCTTTGGCCAAACAATCAACATCATCAGCTATGAGTGAACTGAAAGTGTCACAGAGCAAATAGAAATAGACCGGACACTGAGATAACAGTGAGTCTTTGTATGTGAATAAAGATTTGAAATCATAGCGACTCACAGCCACACTTCTTTCATTGAGGTGGTGGTTTTGCATTGGTGTTGCTAGAAAGGGGAAATACAGATCAACAGGCTGATAGGAGGATCACAATGGCTAAATATTTTATGACCACACTCTCATTTGTCTTCCATGAGCCTGCTATGATAAGAGAACGTTTGTGTCCCCCTTCGCAGCCAGAGCTGTGACGAGAAAGAGTGACACATAGGCAGAAAGGGGTCGAAAGAAGGTAAAGATGAAAGAAATGTATGAATGGAGTCTGGGTTCTCAACTACGCTGCAGCGAATGTGTGCCAGGGCTTTGCCTCCGAATCAGTCCACGGCCCTCTTGATAGTCCACCCACCTATTCAGCTCCCTCTCTCAGCTGCAGAGGGAGACGCTATAAAAAGAACACGCTTCAAAACAGGGCTGTACACACATATGCATTGACCCATTCACGTATTCTCCAGACACAACTGAAATCAATGTGGAAATAGCACTGAACTTGGCCTTTGCTGCAGTTGAATGAAGTCAAACACACCACGTCTGTGCTGGCACACATCCATGTTTGTGTGTATTTGTCAAATAGGGGAAAGCACAGAGAGTAAGACAGCGACTCTGCCAGCATGTCAGAGTTTCTGGTTATGTTTGTGACATGTTTTAGCGCTCTCGTCTTTTCCTGTTTGCCGCCATGTCACCTTTCCATCTCTCATGCCATCCCCCATCATCATAATTTCTGTCTGTGTGCTCCAGTCTGTGCCTCTCTCTATGTCATGTCGAAGCTCCAACTTATTGAATGAAGCATTCCAGAACCACCCTTTTCCCTGGCAGCAGCATCAGAACGACACCATTATTTTGAAACAGATTGCGTTTGACGTTGAGGGCATCCTGCCATTTTGTGTTGCACAGTGGTAATCATCTCCTAAATGGCCAATTTGTGACTCATCCTCATGAATACGGTCTTTGCCCTATGGGTTTTTCATTCTTAATTGCCATTTAATACTCTGTTTTAGGATTAATCCCACCTCAAAACATTAATCTTCATGTGTTGGCACTGGCGTGTCGTCCTGTCTCTGAAGCCATGCTGTCTGTTTAATGATCCACTGTTAAACCAGTAGGAAGTCACTCCAGAGTTCCTGACCTGACCTGCTGTTAGATCCCAGCACCAGCCAATACAATCGCAGAATCAGGCTTTCCTTGACAAACCTGCTGTTGGGGATTAAACTCACGCTTTTGCACAATACCTGCTAACTCTGCGGTCACCTTTGCTTCCGATTATCTTTGAGATTGCACAATAAACTCTGCTCTCACCCAGTTCACCCCTCTGCTAATAGGAGTAAGACTATTATGGTTATGCTATTTTTAGACACAATATTGATTGGACCTGTAGGCATGGTAACACGCTCACTGCCAAATTTGCTGGGTTGGGCTGAGTGCAGAACCAACTCCTTCTCATCTTTTTGTATGTATGCGTGCGTGGGTTAATGCATGTGGGAGGGTTTGCGATTATGTTATTAAGAGAACAGAAAAGTGGAGAATTAAGGGAATCGACAGTAGTTAATAGACTGGATCGGAGCACTTTTGGAGTGCCCATGTGTGTTTTTGTGCATAAGAGGAAATCCTGGACAAGACCTGAGCAGCCTTCTGTTTCTGAAGAGGTGAAAGGTCTCAGAAAACACGATAGATAAGCTTGTAGCACAATTAAACTCCCTATGAAATGTGGTTAATCCATGTTAACTTGAGCATTGCACAGAACGAGAGCAAGATAATCAGGCTTAGTATAACAAAAAAACTCAATACAACCTTAATTACAAAAACTATGTCAATACATCTGAATGACAAAAAGCCTAACAATAACATATGTAGGAGTCAAGGCAGGAGGGATATGATGACAAGTGAACACACTGCATGTTAACACCACTTGAATATTGAATATGAGTTCGCTAAATGCAATTTACCTGAGTGCGCACCAGGATAAGGTTACTTTAAGGGTTAAGTGTATCTGCATGCATGTGTGCGTACATGTATTTTTGTGCGTGGGCTTCTGGCGTCAGCTGAGCTGTGTCAGTCATTGAGCCTACGGCAGAAGTAGGTTTCTGGGCCTGACTGCCAGTTACGTTGAGTCCCAGCAGAGCCCGGAGAGAGAGCGTCTGAGCATCTGAGCACCAGAGCTCAGGCTCCTTGCTTTCATTAACCCTTGTAATGAGGCCAGAGACAGTGAGGCAGGATGCATGTGCACATCCCCAAAGCCATATTCTTCCAGATAGTTCTTCTCCAATAGTTCTCAAGGATTGCGACAGCCTACGAGACCTGGCATAACAAGCAGACAGATCTGCTTGTTATGCCTTTTCATTTATGTGTGTGCTTATGTGTACACATCTGCACTGGGGCTTTTCTATTCTCTTGCCAATCGCTGGGTTTCAATTTTGATACCAAAACATTACTGTTTGTGATACCTTGCTTTCAGGAGCGTATTTCGGACAAATCCATCTTTTTCTTTTACAAAGGGACCCAAACTTCTCAAACATTAAATGTCCAAACACAAGCAGCCTTACAAAAACTTTCCCCAAATGAAATACAGAATATAATATATGTCGTATATATGAAAATGAGACTCCAAGTCTTGTCATGCATTCAATTCCACCTTGCAGCACTTGATCGTTGCTACGAAGACATTTCAGTCAGTACCAAAAAAATCCCCAGTTTATACGCCCATTTGCTATGAAAAAAAGGTTTTGATATTTGTTAGCACTGTTACAGCATCTCCTATCTGGCAATATTCTGGGAGAACTGATAATGACATGCGGATAGAGAGGAGACGACATATGACAGGCTGTGAACAAGTCTCTGTGAGCATCTGATACGCGCCCTATGCTCTGCCTGCTTTCCCTGAGCTTACTCTAGTGTGATCGTTTTGGATATCGTCTTTCCGTCTGTAATGTGACCGACTAAGTGAGGAAGAGTATATCAAGTCCCCCCCCCCCCACCGTTGATTCTGCCACTGTCTCAGGTCTCACTGTATATGATGGCTGATATGTTTTGCTCAGTCCCCTCTCCTTTGAGGTTACCACAACCTCATCATTTTCAGCCAGCTCTTCACCTTGGCCGGCTTCTATGATGATTTCATCTAGTTGCTTAGGAACCGTCCGACCCGCTGTGATGTCATACAGTAGCATGGTGCGATGGTGTAGCTGCATTGGTCCGATCAAGAAGAGGGACGACCCGTAAGTGGCTTAGAACGTGGACATTGCTGGCCTATTAATACACGTAAGCTCTGTTTACACAAACACACACAGACATGCACACAGGCAGACAATGTCGGACCCCAGCTGACAGCCTTGAGTCTTGCAAGGCTCACGCACACTTAGGCACGGATAGTGACACACACTCTTTTTAACGGACTCATCTAGATTTCTGCTCATGCATCACTAGCCGTTAACTGTAGGCGATTATCAACCAGTGCATGAAGCGATGCCACTTAGTCGTCTAAGGTTGGTTGCCTTCTGTTTTTGAGTATCTCATTAATGAGCTCCTTTGTATCTCAGTGGGTTTAGCATGGGCAAGAGGTACCATTCCCACATTGACCACACATGCCAAAAATACAGGGCTTACACAACACTGTCAATTGATCCGAATGCCAAACATTTTTTCCTGGTTAATACCAGTTATTTTGCACGACTGTTAAGGTGTATCCTTGTTTTTTGGGGCATATTATTTGTGTGTGAAGTATGTTGACAGGAGTTGTGAGACTTATCTTCTCGCCATATCAAATGATTTACCTTTCTTTGGACTGACACGCCCGAAACTTGTGTTGATGAATCGACCTTGTTAGATCGGCTTGTTTTCTCATGCTCTAAAGTGCTCTCTGCCATTGCTTATGATGTTCCTCGCCATTCAACTTGATGTGATCCGTCCTCGTAGCAACATTCCTAATGTAAACAGGTTACTTCAGACTTAATGCCCTTTTCTGACAAGCATTATTTTCCGTCCGTTCGTTATATATGGCACCCATAGTACCGTGGCATGTTTTCACACTAATTAAACGGTCCATGTTAAGTAGAGGCTTTATGTAGGAGTAGAGTGTGGAAGAACCACTTGTTCACTATCTGCAGTGCAGCTCTCACTTCTCAAACTGCATTGTTGGCCTGTTCTCCTTGTTGGCAAGGCTTAAGAACTTTTAATATCTTTTTATCTTGTGTTTTCTCTGCAGCCTCCTTCTCTCTGAGCCTCCTATTGTCTTTTCATTTTATCTCCGCCCATTACTGTTTCTGCTTCTCTCTCCATCTGCATCATTATTTCTCCTCTTATGCAATGTTTACTTTTCCTCCTATTAACAGATTTTCACTCTTCACTTCCATCAGCCGTCCATACTTCCTCTGAACTTCGTTCTTCACCTTCCTTTGATCCATTTTTCTCAGTCTGTCTGTCTCTTGCTGTCAACATGCCATTGTTTTTATGGCTATTTAGTTCTCATTTAATTAGCACACTCAGCATGCACCCCCAAATCCTAGAGCTGCAACATATGGCATCGTTCGCTCTCCCCCGCTCTCTGTCTCTCCATCTCTCCTCCCCCCCTCTCTGTCTCTCTGTGTGTCCCTCTTCCACACTATGCTGGCTTTGTTTTCTAGCCCCCTTTCATTTTTCACAGTTTGTCTCACACTTTTTCCTAGTTTTGTTGCCCTCACCCCGTCGTCTTTTCTCCTAATTTGGACTGCATCCAGCTCTGCAGGGACTGTAGAGAGGGTGCTATGGCAACGCCACTTGAAAACATTGCGTGCTCTGTGAAGGGCAGGGATTATGTTCTGCTCATATATTCCAAGCAATTTAGCTGTTTCTTCATCTTTACTTGTTGGAATGTGTGTTGATGATGTCACTTTGTTTT